ATAGTTATTGGGAAGGATAGGAGTCTCTTGGTAGCGTGAAGGGTTAAGAGGACATGGAACCAGGGATATCATTGCTGATGTTAAATGGATCCTAGTGAAAGCAGAGAATACCAGAAAGATGTTGACCTGTGTTTTATTACTATGCAAAGGCATTCGACTGTGTGGATCATAACAAATTATGGATAACACTGCAAAAAATGGGAGTTCCAGAACACTTAATTGTGCTCATGAGGAATCTGTACATAGATCAAGACGCAGTTGTTCGAACAGATCAAGGGGATACTGCATGGTTTAAAGTCAGGAAGGGTATGTGTCAGGGTTGTATCCTTTCACCATACCTATTAAATCTGTATGCTGAGCAAATAATCCGAGAAGCTGGACTATATGAAGAAGAACAGGGCATCAGGATTGGAGGAAGACTCGTTAACAATCTGAGGTATGCAGATGACACAGCTTTGCTTGCTGAAAGTGAAGAGGACTTGAAACACTTACTGATAAAGATCAAAGACCACAGCCTTCAGTATGGATTACACCTCAACATAAAGAAAACAAAAATCCTCACAACTAGACCAATAAGCAACATCATGCTAAATGGAGAAAAGATTGAAATTGTCAAGGATTTCGTTTTACTTGGATCCACAGTCAACATCCATGGAAGCAGCAGTCAAGAAATCAAAAGACTCATTGCATCGGGCGAATCTGCTGCAAAAGACCTCTTTAAGGTGTTGAAAAGCAAAGCTGTCATCTTGAAGACTAAGGTGCACCTGACCCAAGCCATGGTATTTTCAGTCGCATCGTATGCATGCGAAAGCTGGGCAATGAATAAGGAAGACTGAAGAAGAATTGACGCCTTTAAATTGTGGTATGGGAGAAGAATATTGAATATACCATGGACTATCAAAGGAACAAATAAATCTGTCTTGGAAGAAGTACAACCAGAATGCTCCTTAGAAGCAAGGATGGAGAGACTATGTCTTACATACTTTGGACATATTGTCAGAGGGATCAGTCCCTGGAGAACGACATCGTGCTTGATAAAGTACAGGGTCAGTGAACGAGAGGAAGACCCTCAATGAGATGGACTGACACAGTGGTTGCAACAGTGGGCTCCAGCATAACAATGACTGTGAGCATGGAGCAGGACCGGGCAGTGTTTCGTTCTGTAGTACATAGGGTCGCTATGAGTCAGAACCGACTCGACGGTGCCTGACAACAAAAACAGCATTAATTTTAAAGGCTTGTTTTTTATATTCATCTTTTCTAAAATGAAATTGCTTTGTAACATTAATGCTATGTAAGTTTTCTGTAAGATTCTGTTGTTTTTGTTTTACTGGCCTAAAATACTTCTGGAATCGAGAGAGTAAAGTCACCAATGGATTTGCCGTTTGTTGGCCAAATAGGCCTGACCCTAATTATAAATAATGTCTTACAAATTTGTTGTGGTCTACCGTTCACAAATCACATCCACATGTCTTGTAGCATTGATTTCACATGACAGCCTGTTTCCACTTTATAGATGAAGTAAATAAAGCTGTGTGTGTGTGTGTGTGTGTGTGTGTGTGTTGATCAGTAACCAAGGTCTCACAATAAGCGAAAAAACAAACTAGAACCCACATCTTGCATTTTTATATACTCGTTATTTCTTCTATTATATTACATTGCTTCTGCCCTCTCACGGTATAAATAGCATTGGTGCTGAATCAAGAGTGCTACAGGAAACTCATGGTTTTGTAATTGTTGAAGCGGTAGTGTTTATCAGTTAATAAGGATATATTCCATATTAATGCAAAGAAAATACAGAATTCTTGTTAAAGCATGTAGAGTTAGAATGACCTCTAGATGGAGGCAATAGGCCATACTTTATATTGATATTCTTATAATTGCCATGAACTCTAGAGTTTGCAAAATAAAACTTTAAATTACATTTTTTTAGTGAACAGTATTAAAAATAATGCACACACACATAGATGGAGTTGTTGAAAGGAAAGAAGTGATAACCCTTTGTGAGAAAGTGACCAGCTCCCCTTTGATTTTGTGATATGTAGGAAGATAGATAATATTTTAGACTTTAAATAAGAAGATTTAAAATAATATTATTAGTCTAGAGATAAATTATTTAAAAGGGAAAACATATTTATTTCATATAATGGTATTTATAAATCAAAGTTTTTGTCTGAGAGAGCAACATACAGGCCTAGAGATGTGCATAAGTAGTTCTGATTTTCAAGAAAATAGAAGATGAATCCTCCCACCGTAGACCAGTGAACATATTCCTTTGAGTCCAGTACAAATAATTAGTTGGGTTATTGTATGAATCTATAGTAAAGCAAGTAAGGTCATATAACCTTAACATCAATTTTTCTAAAAATGTGAAATGATCTGTTTTTATTTCTTTGCTAGTAGATAGAGTAGGGAAATTGCCCTAGTATATCTGTATTGAAGCAAGGCCTTGAGTCAAGTTCACTCATAACGTCCTTGTGGACAAGATGTAGAAACACGGGCAGGCTAGAGCTGATTCTTGTGCCCCATGTCTGTATCTTCGACCCCAGTATGTTCAGTAATTTTGTCAGTGGATGAAGACACAGACATTTATGTACTTATAAACATTGCAAATAACAAGAATTAGGAACACGGTATATGATAGATGAATGACAATAGTAATTCAAAGATTTTAACATGTTGGAAAAGATACCTAACAAGATATGGATTAATAGGGATAAATTTGGAAGAAGGGATGAAGAGAAATGTGTCAAAAGTACCTAAGGACATTACTGTTGTTGTTGTCAGTTGCTGTCGATTCTGATTCATGGCGATCTTGTGTTACAGAGTAGAACTGCTCCATAGGATTTTCTTGTCTGTAATCTTAATGGAAGCAGATCGCCAGGCCTATCTTCTGTGGTACCACTGGTTGGGTTCAAACCGCCAACCTTTAGGTTGGCAAACCATTTGTGCCGTTTAGGGACCTTTTAAGGGCAATAGGGAAAAACAAATGGAAATGTATTAATAATTGTGACCATTGTGTATCAATATTGGTTCAGTTGTGACAGATGTACCATAGTAATGTAAGTTGTTAACAATAGTGGAAAATGGGAGTGGGATATACAGGAACTCTGTATTATCTTTGCAACTTTTCTGTAAGTCTAAAACTATTCTAAAATTAAAAGTTTATGTAAATAAAAAGTGGCCTAAGTTTTCAAGTCCAAATAAGTTGAAAAATAATAATGCCTATAATAAAAATGAGGAGTTTGGAGCTGTAGTTGTGTGGAATTTTGAGAGGATTGTACTTGCTTCCACAATGTGGAACTCTTTGGGAGGAATAATAGAATGGAATAGCAGAGAATATTTCAAAACAACCTGGTGAGGCCTGAGGCAATAATGGCAGTTTTCACAAGGGAACACAAGAATCTTTTTCCGGTATCTGCTTTTCTTAAATGTTCAGTCTCTGGACAGATTAGTAGTGCGTGTAGAGATGTAGTTGTGTGAAATTCAGTCTGGGTTTAGAAGTCGAGAATAGTTGTCGTTACTGTTGGTATTGTTAGTTGCCATTGAGATGACTCCGACTCATGGTGACCTTATACATAACAGAATGAAGCATTTCCCGGTCCTGCTCCATCTTCATGATTATTGCTATATTTGAGCCCATTGTTGCATCTGTTGCATCAGTTCATCTCATGGAGGTTCCCTCATTTTCATTGACCTTCTGCTTTACCAAACATGATGTCCTTTTCTAGGCACTGGTTTTTCCTGATGACGTGCCCACAGTAAGTGACATGAAGTCTCACCATCCTCACTTCTAAGAAACATTCTCGTTGTATTTTTCTAGTATCTCCTAATCTAGTTAAGTTCTCAAATTGCTTTTCATAGATTGATTTAGTCATCACTTGCTCTTCTGTAGTGTCGCTAGTTGGTTATATAGAAACTGAAAATTAAAGCGGTCAAAAAAATCATAACTGGAAAGTGGTCATTTTATTGACTGTGCAAAGGTTGTGTGAATTATGTGATCTTGTGTGTCCAGGAATGGTCTTATTATTCTAAATTAAGAAAATGTTCACTTCATTTTTGTACTTGGAAGTTATGCTTATCCGTAGAAATGATGGAAATAAATAACATCCAAAATTATATTTGCATCTCAGTTATTATGATAGTGCAAGTAAAAATTAATACCTACACTTGAAATACTTAGATAAATGGATATTTTGCCTCAGGCAAGAAACGCTCTGAAATACTCTGAAGACGTTTGCACAGAAACATTCTGAATGTGAAAAGAAGCACATTCCCAATTTTTTTAGAGTAAATAAGCAAATTACTGAACAAATATTGGAATATTTGTTATTTATGTAAATTTTGTGTTCCCGGAGAAAAAAGGTAAATAATGAATGTAGGATGCACTACTTTAGTAATACAATATTTCCAGGAAGGGTTGAGAAAGATGGTGAGCTTTTTGAAAAAGCATATTCTAAAATTATCTTTGACTTTATTTGTATTTAGTCATGATATTTATTTTTATTTTTCAAATGACTTTAAGGCACAAATTTTTTTTTTATTAAAGAAGGAAAACATTTTAAAAGATTAAGAAACTTTTAATAATGTTTTTAAATTTATAAATCTGTTGACACAGTATATTTTCCAGTTTAATGTTTATGTGGCAAGCCTTTTTCTAAGAGCTTCTTTGTGACTTTGATGTTGATGATGATGTTGATAGTGACTGCTAACATTTATTGAAACTCACTGTGTGCCAGGCACTGTTCTAAGCACATCGTATGTTTCAGCTCATTTTACCCTCATAACATAGATATGAAATAGGTGATATTAGTATTCCCAGTTATAGATGAAGAAACTGGCCTCATGTTAATGTCAAGTGTTTACATTTCTAGAACATTTGATTCTACATGATACTTCTGCTAAATACTGATGGATGATTTAGAGATTTTTTTTTTAATGTATCATTTGGTAGTACTTGATTGAAAGTTTACACCATCCACTGTTTTTATCCTTTTTAGGTTTGCAGTTTTGTGTGGCTATGTATCTGAGTTTGAGGGCTTACAAAACAAAATCAACTATGGACATCGCTTCAAGGTATTTTTTGATATTAAACATGTAGCTGTGTGTTTCGTTAACAGATATTAATCTAATTATTAAACAAATTCAGCTCTAGGGATTCCTCTTTCTTATTTAAACAGTGAGAAAATAAAACGCAGTCTTTAAATAGTACCACGACAAAAAGAATCAAACTATTTGGGTGATTACAGATTATTTTATTCTAGATCCTGAAAGAAGTCACACAGTAGATGAGTATCATTTTTTCAAAGATAGAGAATTACAACTTCAGTCTTCTGGTCCTCAGCTCACCAACCATAAAACATAAGCCTGATAGGGAGTAATTAGTTAACATTCTCTGCATATTGACTTGGTGCAGGGAAGTAGGATCCAATCTAAGGCTTTAAATTTACTGTGGTAGATGAACAAAATAAGTAATCCGCATACACATCATTTATAATTTGCCTCTAGTTATAGTAGCCCAATAAATAACCCCTCGGGGGCAATAATTACAGGATGAGCAAACAGTTCTTCCTTGTTTTCCAGCTTCCTGTAAGCATTTTGACAATGCCAGGGGATTGGATTCCTCTGCCACTTGATACTCCTTCCTCCATCACACTCTACTGCATGTCACTTGATATCTGTAAGCTCACCTCTAAATTACTGTGTGTTAGCTAAGCTAGTCATAGATAGGCACACATTTTGACTTGGATGTTTTCTATTTTTACAGTGACATTTTGGCTTTAAATCGTATGTTGCCTTATTAAACCATAGACATAGCTCTGGCTCTGGTTGTGAGCAATCATTTTTGATATTTGAATGATTGATAAGAATTAATTTTATAAATGATAGGGATTATTTGGGGGGAAGGAGACAACATTGGAAAGCCACCTTAGAGTTTACTAGGATTTGGTGCAGTTCTATTCAGCAATATCTGAAACTTGGGGGATGACATTTCCTTTGGATGTTTCTTTCAGGAACATCTAGATAAAGCAATCCAATTTTTACCTGAAGAACCCTTTTTGTATTACCTCAAAGGAAGATACTGTTATACTGTAAGTTGAATGCCTTTATCTGTAAATCTTACTTGAATATACTATGATTATATGATATATTTTAAGTGACATTCACTCTTTTATTCTTTTACCCAGTGTATCCAAACCAACCAGTTGCCATCAAGCTGATTCCAACTCATGGCAACTCCATGTATACTGTGGGGAAAATTATAAAATCAATATATTTATATTCATATAATTTTATAATTTATGTATTTTATGATTTAATATAAATTTATAATTTGTTATTTATAATTTATGTACTGAAATTTACAGATTCACAGTTTATTAGTTTATAATTAATATACATTTATATTGGAGCCCTGGTGATGCAGTGGTTAAGAACTCAGCCACTGACTGAAAGGTTAGCAGTTTGAATCCACCAGGCACTCCTTGGAAACCGTATGGGATAGTTCTCCTGTGTCCTGTAGGATCGCCATGAGTCAGAATCAACTTGATGGCAATGGGTTTGGTTTTTTGGTTTGGTATATATTTATAGCATATTTTATATATTACATATAATATACTATTTGCTGCTTTACATATGTATACGTATTTCTTCGTTCCTGCCTTTCCATTCCTTTGCAGCAGTCAGTTTGTCTCCCTTGTGGCTCTCTCTCTCAGGTGGGGCTCTGCCCCTTGCGCATGTGCACCTGTAGAGGTGTTCTACTCCCCATTTCTGTGGGAGGATCTTCTTCATTCAGCAGTTCATTGAGCATAAACTATGTGCTAATTAACTGACCAGAAGAGGAATAAAACCCTGCCCTTGCCTTCAAGGAACTTATAGAAGAGGGTATGAGATGTAGAGAAATAGCTGAAATAAAGGCAACTGGTCAGCCTAAGACCTAGTGCCTTAAATGACATTATTTGTTTAATAAAATGTGAAAATATAAAGAGATGCATGAAAAAATTACCATGAAAGGGAAACGCTATTTCTAAGTCAGAATTGACTCGACGGCAACTAACAACAACAGAGGAGATAATAGGGAACAGAGAAGAAGCAACATTCAAAAAATAATGGCTGAGAACTTTATAAATTGTTGAAAGATACAAATCTTCCCATTCGGGAGCCCACTGAATCTCAAGCAGGAGAAGTACTAAGTCTTATGAGTACAGAATTAACAAAATCCTTTCTCCAGCTCTCTACAGACAAACTTGGCCTTCTAGCTCTCTTCCCCTGAAAGGCTAAAAGAAAAATGGAATGTCTGCTGTGTTACTAAGCAACATTGCTTATGATAAAATAATTCCTGTTTTGCAGATTGTATCTAGACTGGAAGACTGAATGAAGTATTAATACTTGATGAGAAACCAGAGCTTTGAGTTCCTTGTTGGGATGACTTTTGTAGTTGACCATGGCCCTTGCAGTGATCTTGAAGCTATGCCCATTGGGCTGTTACAAGAAATATTGTTTCTTATTTGGGGCATAGAGCTTCTGAGCCAGGATGGCTACTGCTTCCATTTAGAGGATCTTGTTTCCTTGCACTTGTGCTAAGTAAAACCAATTGCCAAACGTGGCTTATAGTAGTCATGTGAACCTAAATGTCTAGTCAGGTCTGGTTGGACCAGTAGGGTGTGTTATGAGTCCACATCCAGATACATCAAAGTGAAAATGCAGAACACAAAGACAAAAATATTAAAAGCAACTAGAGAAAAAAATTATCTACACAGTAACAAAAATTAGACTGCAAGCTGATTTCTTCACAGCAGCAATGGAAGCCTTGAGGAATAATTTCTTTAAAGTGCTAAGAAAAAGTAGTTGTCAATATAGAATTTTATATCCAGTGAAACTATCTCTTAAGAATGAGAGCAGGATAAAGAGAAAACAGAATTTACCACCCCAGACTCTTAGTAAAGGAACTTCCAAAGGGGAGGCAGTTCAGGAAAGAAGATGATCCCGAAGAAAAGAGTAAGATGTAAGAAAGAATGATAAACAGAAAAGTGGTAGGTGTTTGGAAGTGTAATCCCATGTTGACTTAAAAAGCAATAATGTCTAATTAATGATGTTTTAAATAGTAATATGCTAAATAAAACAAGTACATAATTCCACACTACTTTGGCAATTTTAACTTCTCTAGGATCGTTATGAGTTGGAATCAACTCAATGGCAGTGAGTTTGGTTTGGTTTGGGTAGTTATATTAAAAGAGTATATAACTGAACAAGGATAAACACCTTAATACATGACCAGATTGCTTATCCTGAAGATGTTTAAATATATTATCTAATTTTGGTTCCTCCAGAAAAGAAGTTAATTTTCATATTTCTTTTACCAGTCATATAAAGTAACTCTTTCAGCTACATAGAAATGCAGGCTTTTTGTTTTACTCTACGTTATAAGGACTGGCATCTTTTTCAAAAGAGCATGCTAAAAACATGGTTACTTGAAGAGTATTGAAGGCTTAAGTCTGCCAAATGTTTACTTCTAGAGCAGTATAAATATAGATAATTAAAGTTGTCTACTCAAGTATGAAATCTATGTAAAACTCATAATAGACGGAAAATGTTCAAAGGCCAGGAAAAAAAATTGTTTGTATAAAAATGTGCTACTGCGTGGGCTTTTGAATAGTCTTCTAGAAAGTTTTGCAGAAAATTTGTTAGTTTGGTTCAGAAAGTAAAGTTCTTCATGAGGAGTTAAAGTTTTTCCTAAAGTACAAACCAAAATTCAAAGCTGCTTTTGAAAATATACTGTTAGTTTATGGCTAGGCAAGGTGACAGAGCTACAGCTTGCAAGAGGATTTGACAGAGTTTTTCTCTTACTCCAGGATGTCAGGCAGTTTTTATAACATTACAGATACTAGTTACAGCATTTGGTCCAATACTGACTCTAGGTATAAAATTCAATCAAAAAGGAGTAAATTGGAAGTGTTTCCACGTTTGTTTTCCAGATCAAATTTCAGTATGTTCAAATAAATCACTTCGCAAAAGATGATGTATGAGTGACATGTAAGCACATAGATATTCAGCATCACTAGTCATTGGAAAAATGCAAATTAAAACCACAATGAGAGACCACTGCACATTTACTGTGTTGTTGTTAGCTGCTGTCAAGTCAGGTCCGACTCAGGGCAGCCTTATGAACAACAGAATGAAATGTTGCCTGGTCCGGTCATTCTCACGGTTGGCAGCATGTTCCAGTCCGTCCTGTGGCTTCTGTGCCAATCCATCTCACTGAGAGTCTCCCACGCCCTCACTGGCCCTCTGCTTCACTAAACATGATGTCCTTCTCTAGCAATTGTTGATCCCTCCTGATTACATGTCCAAAGCAAGTGAGTCGAACTGTGTTTTGTTGTGATTCATAAGGTTTTCAATGGCTAATTTTTGGAGGTACATCACCAGGCCTTTCTTCCTAATCTTAATCTGGAAGTTCCACTGAAACCTGTCCACCATAGGTGAATCTGCTAGTATTTGAGATACTGATGGCATAACTTCCAGCATCACAGCAACATGGAAGCCACCAAAGTACAACAAACTGACAGACAGATGGTGGACATACTTACTACAAGGGCTAAAATTGAAAAAGATTGACTATACCAAGTGTTAGCAAGGATGTGGAGCAACTGGAACTCTTATGCATACTGACTGAATTGCAAAATGGCACAGCCGTTACTAGTTATTTCTGAAGAAAAAATAAATGTCAACACACAAAGGCTAGTACATGGATGTTCAGAGCAGCTTTAGCACTATAGCATGCATAGCAGCATAACAACCTGGATGACTCTCCAAAGCATTATGCGAAAAAACCTCACATAATTCCAGTGATGAAATTCTAGAAAAGGCAAACTATAGAGCTAGGTCAGTGTTGCTTGGTGTGAGGGCATTGACTGCAAAGGGGCATGAGAGATTCTTTTTTTTTTTAAATTGTACTTTAGTTGAAGGTTGACAGAACAAACTAGCTTCTCATTAAACAATTAGTACACATATTGTTTTGTGACATTGGTTACCAACCCCATGCCATGTCAACACTCTCGCTTCTCATCCTTGGGTACCCTATTACCAGCTTTCCTGTCCCCACTGACTTCTAGTCTTTGCCCATGGGTTGGTGTGCCCTTTTAGTCTTGTTTTGTTTTATGGGGCTGTCTGATCTTTGGCCGAAGGGTGAATCACAGGAGTGACTTCATTACTGAGCTAAAAGAGTTTCCGGGGGCCATACTCTCAGAGTTTCTGCAGTCTTCATCAGGCCAATAAGTCTGGTTTGTTTGTTTGTTTGTTTTAAATTGTGCTTTAGATGAAGGTTTACAGAACAAATAGTTTCTCATTAAACATTTAGTACATACACTGTTTTATGACATTGGTTAACAACCCCACGACGTGTCAACGCTCTCCCTTCTTGACCTTGGGTTCCTTATTACCAGCTTTCCTGTCCCCTCCTGCCGTATAGTCCTTGCCCCTGGGCTGTTGTGCCCCTTTAGTCTCATTTTATTTTATGGGCCTGTCTAATCTTTGGCTGAAAGTTGAACCTCAGGAGTGACTTCATTACTGAGCTAGAAGGGTGTCTGAGGGCCATGCTCTCCAGTCTGTCCAGTTTCTCCAGTCTCTGTCAGGCCAGTAAGTCTAGTCTTTTTTGTGAGTTAGAATTTTGTTCTATGTTTTTCTCCAGCTCTGTCCGGGACCCTCTGTTGTGATCCCTGTCAGAGCAGTCAGTGGTGGTAGCCAGGCACCATCTAGTTGTACTGGACTCAGTCTGGTGGAGGCCATGGGAGTTGTAGTCCATTAGTCCTTTGGACTAATCTTTCCCTTGTATCTTGT